CACCTTGTACACGTAGATCGAGGAGCTCTCCTTGCGGCTCTTCTTGCGCTTCTTGTCACCTTTCTTCTGCGTCTTGGTGACGGCTTTCTTAGAGCCCTTCTTAGGCGCAGGGGCAGACTTAGCCGGCTCAGGCATTCTAACACGACGTCTTGCTTACTCGTCAAAACCAACAACTGAAATGGCCACGGCGCCCCTCATTTATAGAGCCGTTATGCAAATACGACACCTCTAACCCGTGCAATTCTATTGGACCTTTTGCACAGAGGGTGTATCCTTGTCTCTGATTGGTTACAATGAGATCCGTCTTTTCATTGGCTGTGTAGGCACTGTGTAGGCAAGGACGCCCCCCAGCCAATCACCAAGTGCTTATCCCGCCCAGGGAAGGGATAAAAGGGGAGGTGAGGTTGCGTCAGTTTGGTTGTTTCTGCGTGGTGTTGTTAGGGTGAGCATTTTTTGTTATCGCCTGAAACATGTCCGGTCGCCTGAAACATGTCCGGCCGTGGAAAGCAAGGAGGCAAAGTCCGAGCTAAGGCGAAGTCGCGCTCGTCTCGTGCTGGGCTGCAGTTCCCTGTGGGCCGCGTCCACCGTCTCCTGCGGAAAGGTAACTATGCTGAGCGGGTTGGGGCTGGAGCGCCAGTCTACATGGCGGCTGTGCTGGAGTATCTAACGGCCGAGATCCTGGAGTTGGCGGGTAACGCGGCCCGCGACAACAAGAAGACGCGCATCATCCCTCGCCACCTGCAGTTGGCCATCCGCAACGACGAGGAGCTCAACAAGCTGCTGGGCAAGGTGACGATCGCGCAGGGGGGCGTGCTGCCCAACATCCAGGCCGTGCTGCTGCCCAAGAAGACTGAGAGCCACAAGGCAAAAAGCAAATAAGCTTCATAAGTGAAGCCGCTCAAAACTTTCACAGCATAAAATATAACCCAAAGGCTCTTTTCAGAGCCACCCACATAGTCAGAAAAGAGTTGTGTTGCTTTCTTTGCAAAAGTGTTTTGGTGCCAAGTATTCTTTTTGTTACAGAGCCAAAGTCGTGTTCTGGGACAATGAATTAAAACTTTGTGCTCATACTTGAGAGGGATGATACAGTTGCTTTATAGGTCCTATTTTGCTGAAATAGCACTAATTGTGTTTGTAGTTGTGTATTGATTCCTTTGTGGTTTAATTGCAAAAGGATCATTAAAACATTAGTTCTGAATCTGCTCACCTTTCGTGCTCGCCTTTCATCCTCTCCAGGCTACTTATGGTGTGAAATTGGGAAATGGCTAAAGGACTGAGGAGGAGAGAAATATTTTTGTAGAATAAATAGGAGACCATCCCAAACCTATTTAATTGTATTAAGAATAAAGAAATGCTTTCTTTGTAGGTCTTAATTTTTTTAAGAAGATGTAAACCTTCCCCATAACTGATTTTAATTAGAAATATATTGAGAAATGCTTTAGGGGAAATTGCTTCTCCCTATTTGGATGCTCATCTAATTTGTCCTGTGCTATAAAGCAACAATGTAGTATCTTTCCATTCAAAAGAAACTCCTTGCAATGCTGGTATATTCTTATTTTTGTGGGATTTGCAAACTTGACAGTTAAAAATTCCCTGAGTGTACATAGATATTTTTCTGTTATAACAGTTAGTGGAATTATGATGATTTCCATCAATCTTCTACATTATTGGCACAACCATCACCCCAGAACACAATGTTAAACTTCTTTAGGGTCACTTAAAATTCTAAGACTGCCTTGCCAATTCCTCTCCTGAGGATGTTCCCAGAATCTACCTAATGGCTTACAGCTCACTGTGCTGATGGCATAGCTCCCACCCATGCAGCACCTCTGCCTTCCCTGTCCTCTGGGGAGAAAAAGGAATTCTTTGGGCCTGGAGGAAGGAAAATACAACATATAACGAGTTACAACTCGCTGTGACTCTCCTCCCCACTCCACCTTCAATCTGTAGCAGAGAGGCATCTTAGGTAGAACTATTATGTCCAAATGGGGACATTAGGGAATCATTTGTGGAGCACCAGACTATTCTGATAGGGTGGTAGTATCCATGTCTACGAATTTTCTTTGCCAATGAATACATTTAGAGCTGTAATGTTTTCATTATGCTGTTTTATTGATCATTAGCTGCTGCTGTATCTCTTGGCACTTACACTTCTCTCTTTGAAGAACTGTGATGATACTAAAAACTGTTTTAACGTGCAGGAGTCTCTTTATACTTGGTTTCCAGAACAGTTCCCTGCGTATGTTTGTCAGGAGAACTCAGGCACGGAACAATTTGGGTTGGAAGAGAGCGTTGAAGATCATCTATTCCAATCCCTCTGTCATGGTGCTGGGACTTCTAGATCAGGTTGCTCAAATCCCCATCCAACCTGATTCTGAACATTTCCAGGGATGTGGCATCAGACAAATCCTCTGGGCAACCTGACTGTGTCCTACCATCCTCATTACAAAAAAATAAAATCATCCTTATATCCAACTTAAATCTACCCTCTCTTAGTTGAAAACCACCACCCCTTGTCCTGTTACCTGTCTTTTTACCAGTTTTCATAAAAAGTCTCTTTCAGTGTTTCTATATGGAAAGACTGCAATTAGGCCTCCCTGCAGCCTTCCCTTCTCCAGGCAGAACAACCCCAACCCTCTCAACCTTTCTTTGTAGGTGAGGTGCTCCAGCCCTCTGATCATTTTTGTGGCTCTCCTCTGGACTCCCTCCAACAGAGTCATGTGTTTCTTGTGCTGAGGACTCCAGAGCTGAACGCACTACTGCTGGTGGCATCTCATGAGAGCAGAGGGGGAGAATCACCTCCCTCAACCTGCTGGCCATAATTCTTCTTATGCAGCTCAGGATAGATCTGGTTTTCAGGGCGGCAAGTGTATCACTCCACATCAAAGCACTGGAATCCTGGAGAAAGCTGTGCAGATATCGATAACCAAGAGTGAAAGTTATCCATGAACAAACTCATACGCAGAAAAATCAGAGTTGGTATCACAGGAGAGGGCCCTGCCTTTCTCTGAGTGTGGAGGTGAATTCAGCATATCTCTCCAAATTATTCTTGCCATCTAACCAGAAATTCATTATTTTCTTCAGAATTGCATTTTGAAACACCACTTATTTCACTCACTGCACTGCTCACCTCAGTAAAAGGAGTTTCACTCTGTCGTACTGAGGTCCGCTTCTTCACATTCCCACATTCCCTCTATCTGTTCTTGGCCACTGGTGGTTCCACCTGTTGTGAGCTCTGTGCTGCCTTCACACTGATGAGGCCTCAGATGAGCAAATTCCACCAGAGGAAGGAATGCAACACAGCAAGTTTAAATAAATGAGCTTTTTCTCATTTGTTTGTATAAAAAACAGTAGTAAAGAGGAGACACAATGCTTTAGCTGTATCAGTGGGTCCAATACACTTTCACATTCTAAAGAACTTGGGATGCAAAATAAAGTCCAACCAAGCCCTCTTAAATGTTATAAATCTCAGGGTTATGATGATTACGGTTAACTCAGTGATGTCAGTCTATATATCAAACAACTTACAATGACCTAGTTAAAAAGTAAGATGAAAAACTTCTCTATCCCTTTTCACTTTTATTTTTTTTACAGTATTAGGAATAATGTACTCTATTAAAAAGATCTTACATGACTTTAGTCTGCAGATTATTATTAGTAGTAGTATAGTTGTAGGAGGTAGAGATGTGGATTTAAATTGCCATATAACATCTCAGGAAAAATTAAGAGCAACTCTGCAGTTGGATTTAATACACTGATGCGATGATTTTATGGTAATAATTATATACTTTCTTGTGCAGTAATGGTGAGATGTTGCCTTGCTGCAACAAATGCAATTTCCTTATTATAGTTTAATGAGGAAATGGGATGACTCTCCTAATTAGAGCACGCTTCAAAGGATGCAGACTTTTTTTCTTAAATGCAGCAGAATTTTACAAAGGTTTCCTTTCTCAATTAACTCCTGTGTCTGAAATCATGAGCAAAATGTAGTTGCTAGAATCTTAGAACTGGATCCTAAATATTGATCTTAACAACTATTTTCTCCAATCCACAATAAAAGCAACTTCATTTAGGCATTAAACTCAGCAGCAAAAATTTCTTTCTGCTTTAATGCCTATTTGTAGCAATGTACAAGCAAGGCAGCATTCTAGAAAGCAATATATTAAATTGTATCAAATGTGCTCCACACTTTGGGAGTTAATCTGTAAGCCACCAGTCAGCCTCTGAACCACACATTTCTTCCAGGACACGTTGGCAGATGATTTTTCCCAAGTCTTCCTGAGGTTGCCTTGCTAGAGGCAAAAGTTGTACTAGAATATTCACCCTGCACTTAGAAAGGGTTATGAAGAAATGAAGATTTTGACACACTAAAAGATTTAGTGTAATTCCTGTAGGCTTCCTTTAGTATTCAGAAGGTTGTTTCTAACTGCCTCAGGAAATGTATCTAGACACAGATATTCAGGTATTTAAAAAAAAAAAAAAAAAGGCAGACTCTATGGAGCCAAGTGATAATGTTAGGTATCAGCCCGGAAGGTCCACTGATGAGAAACATTCTAGTAAGTCTATAAATAATTTCAGTTCATACTGTTCATCCAAAAGGCAAACATAATGTAAATTAAAGCTAGTTTTGCCTGCTCATGCTGTATACATTTGAATGTAAATTATTGAATTTGTTTAAAATGAAAGCTTGAAGGAAAATGGAATTTGCAGTGATAATTATGATCATAACAAAGACTTGTGCTTTGTTAGACACCTGAAGCTTAATAAATTAATATCTCAAGCAATTTCTCCCTGAATTTAGGGAATATGTTCTGCCGCTAAATATTCTGGAGATGTTGCCTATGTTCTTTAAATGATGTTCAGGAAACATCCACTGTACATAATTGAAAGGATATCAATATTTTTTAAAGGTAGACACATCCAAAGTGCACAAAAGGCTAATGATGTAACAATTGGCAAGTGCCATAGTTATATCACGATTCTAACCGTGCAAATAACATTTAAAATCTTGGCACATTCAGTTTAAAAATAAGCCTAGAAACTCTTTCAGTATTTATTCATCTACTTTAAAAATACGATCTCTCATGCTGTAAGGAGCATGTGAAGTTTCTTAATAAAATGTGAAACACACGTAAACATTTCTGGATTATTCATTCGAAGAAAAATATTTGGTAACTGTTCATTTTTCGGCAGTCATACAGACATCCGGATGGTAATGTTTGCAACATTTTCTTTGGCTTATTGGATCCGGCTGCACGCCAGCCAGCATTTCTCCGTTTCAGAGGCCGGCACCTGCCGGGACTGAGCCCGGCCTGCCCGCGGAGCCGCGTCCGGGGCTGAAGAGGCGAAGGACGGACGGTGGCTTCGGCGCTCCCGAGCAGCCGCCCCGAGCTGCCTTCGCAGGATCGTCCGCTCTAAAGCGTCTCCCACTGAAGCGCCTCGCTGAGCCAATTTATTTTTCACTCAGCTCAGGGGCTTCGCTCCCTGCTGCAGCTCGCACCGACCTGCACGTCGCTCCGGGCGGACAGGCGGCAGCTGAAAGGAGT